GCCCACATGTGCTCGTTCCACATGCCAGGGAGTGCATTTTAAAAGCAGAGTACGCATTCCCATCCCACAGACTGCCCCATCACCCTGCAGGTGGTTGGCACCTGCAGCATGTGGGGCCACCCGGCCGTGTTCCCTACCGAAGGCAGCTTCGTGACTGCCGCTGGGAACCTGTCAGGGCATCTCGGTGTGAAGCTGAACCAGATGTGACCCCGCATCTCCGAGCTGTTGGCTTATAACCAAAGTGCCCATTGCGTGCTGCCCGGCCACGACGGTTCGCCTGTCTCCACGCTGACGTCCCTGAGTGACTCGCTGGGCATTTGAGGTGAATGAAAAGGTTCCTGCAGCAGGAGGTCTCTGTGCATGCGCTTCACACTGACGGGGGGGGGGGCGGGGGGGGCGCTGGCTGAACCACAGCCCTCCCACAGGCTGCCCCCCCAGAGGAGTGTGCCATCCAAGGTCAACACTCATCCTCAGGAACAATGTTCTGAAGGTAATGCTGCCTCCAGGTGCTTCACTGTGACAGAACAGGCTGCTCTGCCACCTTGTGGCCAACACAACAAACAACTCCCTGTTCCAAATGGACGCACAGAACCCGATTTCAAAGGGAACGTTCCAGAAAACTGAACTAGAAGAGAAGATGGCGGGGCCATCGCCTTGGCCCAACTTTGACCACCCCCAGTGTTTATGGAACGCATTTGAAACTCTCAGTCAAAACTCATGAGGAGCATTTTGCTAAACAAACTTATTGAGTCACGTATTTCGAGTTTACAGTTCAATGAGTTTTGACCCACGTGGACGAAATGTTACTATCACCCCAACATGTGCAAATGTCCATCACCCCCAAAATACCCCTCATGACCTTTTGGCCAAACCACCACCCGCTGGCAGCCCTACGCACCCATCTGCTTGCTTCCATGCGAGGCCTGTTCCAGGATTTTCAATAAATTGAACCAGACAGTACTTTTGCTTTGTTTCCTGACTTCTTCACCGAAGGTAATGCTCTCGAGCTTTATCCATGTCACATGTGCGAGTAACTGAGCCCTCCGCACTGCTGACAGCACTGCATCGTATAGAAAGGCCACGTTTACTCATGGTCCCGTGTGTCTCTCGACCCTGTTTTGCGCTTTTGCATATTTTCTCAAATATCCACACTTTTCCCTTTATGTTTTAGTACATGTCTAGTGGTTGCTCTAGAGTTTATAATATGTCTCTTGATATAATCATGGTCTACCTTCAACATCTCTCACACCATTTCATTCTCAGTGTAAACACCTTAAAGCAATATCCTTCCATTTCCCCCTCTATTCTTTGTGCCCTTGTTTCTTTGAATTTTGCATAAGCTTTAAACTCCATGTGCATTGTCTGTATTTATTTATGCTTTTAAAATCAATAATTTTAAAATAAATTTAAAAACAACGCTCTTTCTTATTTACAAAAACGTTTACTATTTCCAGTGTTCTCCGTTCTTCTGAGTAGATCCAAATTTTAATATAGTGTCACTTTCTTTGTCCTAAATGTTTCCTTCAACATTTCTTGTAGTTCAGCTCATCAGACAACTAGTATCCTCAGCTATTTTTGTGTGAAAATAATTTTTCCAAAAATATTTTTACTTTATGTAGATACTAGATTGGCAGGGGTTTTGTTTTTTGCCCCGCCCCCGCATTGTCAGCATTTTAAGAGTGCCCATTGTCTTCTGCCTCACATAACTTCTATTGATAAGTCTGTAATATTACTTGTTTTGGTGACTGTTCATATGTCTTTTTTCTTACAGCTTTTTACTAGATTTTCTTTCCATAACTTATTTTAAGCAATTTCATTAGGATGTGCCTTTTCTAATCCTTCTTGAGTTTTTTCCTACCTCCTTAAATATGTGTTTGTAGTTTTCATCAAATTTGATGATTGTTTTACCATGACGTCCTCAATAAATATCCTTTCTTCCATTATTTCTTCTGGCACTCCAATTCCATGTGCGTTAGATTACTTGAATTTTCTCATGTCATTGGGGTTCTATTAAATTTTCCAAGCTTTTTTCTCTTTGTGCCTCAGGTTGAATATTTCTATTGCTATGTCCTCGAGTTCACTGGTGCTTGCGTTTCTCTGCAATGCTGTCATTCCATCCACTGAGATGGTGTTTTTTAAATTTAGAGGCAACACTGGGTCCTTTGGTGTTTTGTTTTTTTGTGTGTTTTTTTAAAATTTTTTTATTGCTTAAAGTATTACAAAGGGTATTACATATGTGTCCCTTTTTTTCCCCACCCTAGACAATCCCCTGGCCTCCCCTACCCCCCAGTGTCTTATGTCCATTAGTTATGCTTATATGCATGCATACAAGTCCTTCAGTTGATCTCTTACCCCCCTCCCTCCTGCCCCCCAACCCTCCCTGGCCTTCCCGCTGCAGTTTGACAATCTGTTTGAGGCAGTTCTGCCTCTGGATCTATTATTGTTCAAAGGTTTATAATGGTCTCTGTTATCCATGAAAGAGTATTTTTCCTTCATTGACTGGCTTGTTTCACTTAGCATAATGCTCTCCAGCTCCATCCATGCTGTTGCAAATGGTAAGAGTTCCTTCTGGGTCCTTCGGTGTTTTATCTTCTTCCTCCGTGTATGTGTGCTTTCTTCAATTCCAGGAGCATATTTACAATATTCTTTCAGCTCTTTTGAGATTCCTGTCATTCCTGGGTCTATTTACATTGCTGAACTCACGCTGAGATGGATCACCTTCTTCTCTAAAGCATAACCTCCAGCAGCTGGTCAGAGTGGAAAGCCATTGGCCAGGCGTGAGGTTCTTCGCACCCGTAATTTCACCAGGGAATGAGGAAAGCCTAGAATACAAGTTCTCTGGGACTCTCCTAGTGCAGATTCCCACCTTGAGGCCGAAAGTCTTGTCCCTAAAAATAAATACGTTCCTACCTTTCCAACGGATGACAATTGTAACGTTGACCCCGCAGCATATTCCGACAGGGACTTCACAGCAAACATTTCCAGATTTCCTAATGGCCTTAACGACGGGACAGAATGATATGTGCAATATGCTTCATTGAATCTCTTCTTTGTAAATGCATTTCAGTACTTCGTGGATCAGTAAGAAATAGAGAAAAATTACTCTGATGGCGGACTTCATGGCAGGAGAATCCAGACAGGGGCCGAGTAGATTGAGCTTTCTGTATCCCTGGGCACATTCTCATGGAAGTTCTTTTTTTCTTTAAAGAAATCGGAAAGCCGTGGTTTGGGGGGTCACTTCATCCAGGGGCCAATGCTATCTTGTCCGTGTTGTCAGGAAGAGCCCCATCGACTTAGATCGCGCAGTGCAAAGCTCCGTGCTGGTGGCGTCACGTCTGTGGAGCATGGTGCCGGTGGCAATCAGCAAAGATTATTTAACCAAATGGATATTAACCAGAGGACTACATGTTATTAAATGCCTAGATATAAGCTTACATTTGTAAATAAAAAACAAGTTTATCTCTATTGCAACAGTGCTAAATGTCTTCTTCCCATCAAATAACTGAATATATTTTCCCACCCAATGAAAGCAAAAAATACTCTAAGAACTAGTGCTGTAAATATGTTTACAAAAGTAAAACTGATCACATGCACACATGTATTTATTTCAGCATCTTGAGTAAGAGACATGTACCACGTTAATTTTATTGGAAATTAAAAGTGACAAAATGAGATGTATCTTCATTAATTTATACATATGCAAACATCCTCAACATGCATGGTGTTCTGGATGTTCATAGGTCATTTAGTTCAGCCACTTCAGAGTCGTTATCTGTTTCTTTTGGTCTTACATATTCTTTAATAAATTCCCAAAGGTTCCTTAAAATACATAAGAAATAAATATCTTAGATTAGCAAAAGGACATTAAGCATAAAAGAAAATTTCAACATAAGCATCTATTTTAGGATACGTTTACTCAAAAACGCGAACTGAGTCTTTGCAACGCTCCCCTTTCATTTCAGAGAATATTCCCGGCGTAGCTTTGGCCTAGAACCAGCAAAGATCCTCCACACGGATGGATCCGGGAGAGGGTGGCGGCCGAGCAGATGGCATTTCCACTTCAGACCCATTTATTCTCCTTGCCGAGGCTGTGGCAGGAGCCGGCCCAGCTCTGTATTTGCATTTCTACACCTTCCTTCTCCTTTGAGGGCACCTACCATATTGTGAAACCAGGGGCCACCTGTGTGGCTCACTCAGCACCTGCTCTAACGCCCTTTCCCCGTGACTTTCTCGACCCCGTGAACTGGGAGTGAGATGTTCTATTATCTGGACTCCTTTGCAGCCAAGGATGGTCTGGGGACTCGGGGCTGACCAATGAGACACGCGTAGAAGACGCCGGGAAGGGCTTTTCTTCCTCAGTGAAACAAGCCTCATGCTGAGGAGCTGTTGGGGACCAGGTGTAAGCTGGCAAGGTCCTTGCACCTGAAGGGGCTAGCTAAGCTGGGACCCTTACCCACACAGTTTTCCCAGACTTGTTTGGATGGCAGTTATCAGTAGAATGAGAGCAACCTTTGTAGAATGAGAACAGCCTTTCGTGGCTTACCAAGAAACCTGTAACTATTTACTGAGATGTGCTGTACCGAGAATTTGTCCTTCTGCTCTGTCTCTCCCTTAGAGATGAAGAGGAACAAAGCATACATTCCTCTTGACGGACCTCCTATTCAGTGTCTTGTGTATAAAAGGCATTGCGTGGTTAATAAACTTACTGCAGTTCCTGGTGAGCTGCAGTCCTCCCGACCCCGCTCTCCTGTCTTTCTTTCTTTTCTCAATTCCCACCTCCCTGCCTCAGCCCCGCTCGACCTGTCAGGCTGGCCCTGAGAAGAAGCTGTTTGCCATTGCCCTTCCTCTCCCTCGTCTTCCTCCAGGGCACGTGGACCCAGCGCCTGAGCAGCCATCAGAGAGGCTCTGAGGAGAACTACACTCGAGGAAAACGCGGAAGAAAGATAGAAGAATGCGGTGTTTGATATCACTGAACCCAGCACACATCCGCGTTGCCTTTTGACTGTTGATACAAACATGCCCTTTCATATCTAAGTCACCAATGGTTTTCTGTTGCTCCCAGCCTTACCAAATTGTAAGATTTGAACCGTATTACAAACTCTAAGAACTTTAACTATATAAAGTCTCAACTTATGTGACAGATAATATAAACCAGCCATTTTATTTTTCAATTAGAAGCTTTAGAGCAGTGGTTCTCAACCTTCCTAATGCCGCGACCCTTTAATACAGTTCCTCATGTTGTGGTGACCCCCAATTTCATTGTTACAAATTGAACATAATTAAAGCACAGTGATTAATCACAAAAACAATATGTAATTATATATGTGTTTTCTGATGGTCTTAGGCGACCCCTGTGAAAGGGTCGTTTGATCCCCAAAGGGGTCGCGACCCACAGGTTGAGAACGGCTGCTTTAGAGTAATGCATGTATAGAGTTTTCGAAGATTTAATATCAATAAACACCATATAATTTGAGGAGGGAAAAGCCACCCACAGCCACAAGTCTCCCTAGCTTCCTGATCCCTGCCCATGAGAATCAACCCTTGACTCTTCAGCTTTTTTCAAAGTATTTATTTTTACATAGATGATAGAGAGATAGAGATAGAGATATAGATATATAGATGATAGATAGATGATAGATAGATGATAGATAGATAGATAGATAGATAGATATAGATAGAGGAGAGAGAGAGAGAGAGAGAGAGAGAGAGAGGCTTAAATCTTGGGCTGATCATTGCTAAGCATAGGAGGGGGTGTAACATTTCTATTGAAAGTTAAGACACATGAATATAAATACTTCACAAGGACTGTCTAGTCTCATCTCATTTTAAACACACGGTTTTGAGAACATGCGATTGTGCCAGTGCTTTCTCGCAGCTTCAGGACTTACAGCTGCTCCTCCCCACTCAGCTCGCTCCTCCCCAGGAACTGCTTCACCTGGTTTTCAGCCGTCTGCCAAGAATTAGAAGTCATCTGGTCATGTACGCCGGCCATGATAATGCACCCAAATAGATGCCACTTCTAGAATCGGGCATAACATTCTACTTCCTACCACGTATAATACAGAGAGGTACATACACGAGAGAAACAGGGTTATCATCTATTAAGCAGAAAATTGTTAGCAGGCATTTGGGAAGGGTACCCTGAAAGCTGTTTGGGGTGCCAGTGCATTATATTTCTTGTAACCAAATCAGCTCATTAAAAGTAATTATCATGTGCGGGAGGGTTAGAGAAATCGTAAATTCTGACAGACACATTCAACTATTTGGAAGATTGTTTAATACATTAGTTTACACCTCTCTAATTTTGAGCTAATATCTACATAGCCAGCTATTCCTAGCATTACAGAAAGTTATCATTTAGAAAGCTAATGCATGTATTCTAATTTGATTTTTGACATAGTACAAGAAGGCACTAGAGAAAAAATGGTTCTATTGAAAAGCATCGATTCACAAAAACTTACATCTATTTTCTTCTTTAAAATAATATTTGCTCTTTCCAATTTTATAGTTTCAGTCTGTAGGGGAAAATGATTATAAGAGAAAGATACCTGGTTAATAATATTTATTAAATAGTTTCCCCATTTATGGAACAAAATGTATTATGCTGTTATTCTGATTTCAAAAATACGAATTGCACCCCACTTAAAACAGATGAACGAAAAAGCGTGACTGAGGATATGAAGACAGACAGACAGATCCTGGTCCCTGCGTAATAAACTAGAAGAGGTGGAGATTGGTGTTGGAAAAGACCAGAGAATTTTAGGGAAATTTCAGAATAGAAGATTCCCTCACTTTTCAGAATTATATAATTTATTAAGGATACAATATAAAAATACAAATATCAACAAGTCACATATATACTAGAAATAACTGATTATAAACTGTAATGTAACAGTTGTTAACGTTTTCATATACAATAGTAACAGATGCAATAAAGTCACAAAAATAAACATAACAAAAAATATTTAAAAGCAATGCAGAAAATTAAATTAACATAAAATGATCCTTGATGGGAATGTTAACATTATAAAGCTGCCACTTGGTCCCTAATCCTATATAATAAAAGCCTAATATGCTAAGTGTCCAGTCGTCTGGTCATCCGTTCAACCAATCAAAGCATAATATGCTAATGATAGGCTAAGGCCGCTCAACTGCTCACTATGACGTGCACTGACCACCAGGGGGCAGACAGTTGACCAGTCAACCAGTCACTATGATGTGCACTGACCACCAGGAGGCAGATGCTCTGACCAGTAGGTTAGCTTGCTGCTGGGGTCCAGCTGATTGGGACTGAGCGAGATGGGCTGAACATGCCCTGGCCAACCTCCCGTGTCCCTCCCCTGTCCCGATCATGCACCAGTGGGGTCCCTTGGCCTGGCCTGTGCCCTCTCGCAATCCGGGACCCCTTGGGGGATGTCAGAGAGCTGGTTTCAGCCCAATCCAGCAGGCCAGGCTGAGGGACCCCACTGGTGCACGAATTAGTGCCCTGGGCCTCTAGTGAATTTTTAAATTCATTGGAAACCCAGTCAAAATGCCAAGAGTACTGTTATTGAGACTTAAAAATGTAGTTAACCCAATGAATTAAAATATCCAACATCATTGTGAACAAATAATGATGAGCAGGGGTTGTAAAGACTTGCTCTCCCAGATATCCAACTTGAAAAGGATTGGCAATTACACCAGCGAGGCTGCACGGTAAATAATTAAGACCTTGGGCTGCGTTTAAATCCTCACACTGCTACCTGCTCCCTGTGCCCCGAATCAAGTGACATAGCGTATCCGTGCCCTGGTTTCCTCGCCGGGAAAGGAGGCTGACAGCAGCAGCTATCGCTTACCGTCTCTACGGGCTGCTGACATTAAATGAAATGTATTTTTAAATGTTCGCAGCAGTATCTGGCGCATTGTTCATCGTTGGTCCATTCAGTTATTTTTCATTGGGTTAGAAACAATGTGTTATTTGAATTTAGGAGCCAAGTATGAGTAATAAAAAAACTAATATAAGTTCATGATATGGAATCATTATAGGGCGACTTCTATTTCATTGATTCAACCCATTTAAAGAGATGGTAATTATGAAAGTTTATATGACTTTGGCATCATGTTTATAATATGTAAAGCTATAACTCTATTATTTTCAGTTTAAAAATTCAACTATAAATTAGTATCTGTTCTCAGGACATTATTTAGTTTTTTTTTAAAAAAAAAGAGAGAGAGAGAGAGAGAGAGAGAGAAGATTCTAAAGGAAAACACAGAAGGAAGTCTGAACATATGATTTTAAGAGAGAGAGAGACATCAAGTCAAGTCTGGACCACTACCACCTTCCCATATACTTTATAATTCTGCTTAAAAGGGAGAAAAAGTGGTGTTGGCAAAATATAAGTAACCATGTAACCACAATAAGAAAGAATAATCCCATGTCAATGATAAACTCCATAACTAGAGGTTAAATTGAGTCAGATTCTGCCCAAATAAAAGTGAGCAGATAACACAGGCACCACAGCATTTTAAAACAGACTGTAATGTACAATATATTATTGTTCAACAAAATTGACACAATCATTGTCAAAAACTGCTTTTAACTCAGTAGACTCCCTTTCAGTGGCCCTCCCTCACTCAGTCCCCTCTGCCCACCGAACCGCACAGCTAACTCAGTCTAACTCTGAGGCCAACCTGTCGCAGCAGAAATTACAGGGGCTGGAGCCCCAACAGAATTAAGCTTGAACCCACTTTGTCACCTCTACACGGTTCCATCGTGGGCGGGTCACCTGGCTGCTCTGAGCCGAACTTAAACTACTTAGGACACACTCGACACTAAATGATGACCGTTCATTCCATAACAAGACTTTTCTATACAAAACACTAAACTTTTCAATGGACCTGAAAGAGATTTGACCCTTAACCGAACTCTACAGAATTGTTTATCACCTTCATTTTGTTTTGTTTGTTTAGATCTCTTAATTATTCTAAGCATGTCTTCATCACTGGCTACAAATGTCTATACATGTGAAACCTTAAGCGACCAGAACAACCAGGATGACCGGAACGGCCAGGACGACCGGAATGACCAGTCGCTATGAAGTGCACTACAGGGGACGGGGATGGCTGGCCAACCTCCCGCGGCCCCTCCTCCTGGCCGGCCCCATCCCTGATCGGCCCCCCCACCCCTATCTGGGGCAGGGCCGGCTGGTCAACCTCCTTCAGCCCCTCTCCCCGCCAGCCCAGCCCCGATTGGCCCTGATCGGGGCAGGGCCAGCTGGACCCCACCTGTGCACGAATTTGTGCACCAGGCCTCTAGCTTTTAAATAAAAATATATGTGCACCAAATTTTATGTAATTGTTTATCCTGTTGCAAATGAGATCACTTCACGTGGTTGCAATGGTCGGCAAGAGAAGGAACAATGCCAACACGGAATTTGCATACCTCGATGCTCTTGACCCTGCTCTCGGCGATTTGTAAAACCCTAGTGTGGACCAGGGTGGTTTTCATTTCTCGCTCCAGAGCCTGGATCTCGTCCAGCTTCTGGAGTACTTCGCATCGCTTCCTCGCCACCTGGTCGGTCAGCGTGAGGTGCTCCTCCTCCTTGCTCACGTGTTTCTCAGAAGATTCTGGAGATATTTTTTAAAAGCAAAGCATTACTGTGTTCAATATCATAGCCCTCAGTGATAATGTCATGCATTATTAACAACATTATGTCTTACATCGCTAATCTGTTACAGCTATAAAATATAATGCAGCCCAAACTCCAAGCACGCCAACAAAAATGATGGGATTGAGGGATGGGGTGTCGTCCTTTAATCCCTTCATGTACCAGTAAGTGTTTCTCCGTGGCCACTGTGAGCAGCTAAGACCGAATGGGGAAAACACAGGGCGACTTAGCCAGAGGGGTGGGACTACATTGAGACCTGACAGACAGACAGGAGTTAAACAAGCGAAGGGGCGGGGGAGCCGGAGGAGCGGGATCGGCACTTTCACTGAACAGGTTACCCCGTGGGGCGGGGCAGAGCACCAGGGCGTAACATCGAGAGGTGATGCTGGGAAAGGGGGAGGCCCATCTGAAAAGGCGTAGAACCTGCGTGAAGAAATCAGGGGAGGGCTTTTCAGTTGGAGAGAAACAACTGCCCCTGGGAAGACAGACAGACAGACAGACAGCAGGTGAGGCATTGCCCTGGGGGGACGGACAGACAGACAGACAGCAGGTGAGGCATTGCCCTGGGGAGACAGACAGACAGACAGACAGACAGCAGGTGAGGCATTGCCCTGGGGAGACGGACAGACAGACAGAGAGCAGGTGAGGCATTGCCCTGGGAAGGACGAGGAGCAGGAAGACCAGGGACTCTGGCTGGAACCTCGAGGGCGAGTCTGCTCAGAGCTCGATGCAGGCAGGTCTGTGAGGGCCGTGGTCCCGTGTGAGTCACTGAGCGGCGTGTAACACACATGGAGGGAAAGGGCATCGGACGGAATCGGTGTAAACAGTGAGGAACCTCACGGAGCTGCTTTTGAGTAGTTACTCATGTGAAATGTGCATCTAATTTTATGGTAAATTTTAATATGTATGTAATGCATCAATATTTGTAAAATGTAATCCATTTGCCACAAACTGTGTGTTTTCCTCACAAGAAACAAGGACACAGAGAAGATGGATGGGCAGTGATCCCGCTGCCCCAGACTCTGTGCCTCCCGTGGTCGGTCCGCATGTTTCCTCCTCAATCACCTGAGGGGGAAGCACTACCTGCTCCGACTCACCAACTGAGACTCACAGCTGAGGCTCCTGAGGCCAAAATAACAAAGCTTGGAACCTGGACGGCCACGGCCACACTGCCAGTCCACAGCCTGGCCACGCTGCCAGCCCATATCACCGGGCCATGCTGCCAGGCCACACTGCCAGTCCACAGCCTAGCCACGCTGCCAGACCATATCACCGGGCCATGCTGCTGGGCCACATCACCAGGCCACGCTGCCGGGCCACATGGCCAGGCCACGATACCGCCACGGAGGCGCCCTGGGAGGGGATCCCGGCAATGGGCAGAGATGGAGAGTGTGTGTGCAAGGCAGAGAGCGTCTCCAGCATGGACAGCCTTAGAAACTCCTCGCAGTCTGGAAAGCTGACTTCTTTGAGCCGGGACTAAGAATGAGAAGGTTCTGGAAACCAGAATGGACTGTCTTCATTGACGCGACCCTGACCACCACAGGAGACCGAGGGCCCTCCCAGGTCCTCCTCACGTGGTGGCTCTGAACAGCAGCTCCCAGGCCTCGCTCGCGTCTGTCGTGTATTAGACCCTGTCTGCAGGGGAGACCCCTTAGTCCTCGCCGTCCTCCTGGGCGGACCCCGAGTCTACGTCAGGGTCCTCAGGATCTGCTCCCAGTGTCTCGTCAAAACCTGACCTGACTCTACACAAGGTCCCCACTTCGTCCCCGGGAAACCACACAGACCTGAGAGAGCAGGAAACAGTGGCCCGTGTTCCCTGTTTCTGGGGACAGGAGCCGACAGGCTGCCCAGACCACGGGCGCGGGGAGAGCGGTCCGCACCCTGACGAGGCCCTCGGGGCAACCACGCCGCGTCTAAAGGACCTGAGCGAAAACACTGCCAACAGCCCGGCCAGCGGGCTCCGGGGCTGAGCGGCGACCTATGAACCAGGAGGTCACAGTTCAATTCCTGGTCAGGGCACATGTCTGGGTCGTGGGCTCGATCCCCAGCAGGGGGCGTGCAGGAGGCAGCCGATCCATGATTCTCTCATCACTGATGTTTCTATTTCTCTCTGGAATCAATAAAAAGATATTTTAAAAAACACTTCAATCAAATTAAACTCACTGTGTTTCTAAAGAACTTGATGGGAAAAATCAGTAAAATGTGATCATTTCTCTGAAAAAAAAAAAAATACCCTTTGCCATAACGAACGGCGGGAGGCCCCGGACAGCGGGCCAGGCTGGCAGCTCCGCACCCAGAGGCGGCGGAACCAGAACCGAGCGTGAGAAGAACATCGGGACTTGCCTGCCTTCTTCTGCGCGCGTCGCAGCCGCCGCCGCTCCTCCGCCAGCTCGCTCCTGAGCCTGAGAGAGGACAGCACAGCCAGGTTAGAGCTCCCTGCCTTCCTCCTCTCGTCTATTTTCTGTCTTTTTGAAAATTGAGAAATAAAAACTAATCTTTGCAACAAAAAGGGTCGTTAGAAGGTGTCTGTAGAGCGAGAGCTGGGGTCGGTCCAGTTGAAGACACCGAAGAACCATCCTGCCACGACTGCCGAGCCGCCACGTGGGCGCTGGTGAGAGTGGGACCAGTTATTTACCACAGGGTTTATCGGTATTATTTTACGACTTGAATTCCTAAAAAACAAGGAGGCACAAACCTAGCATTTTAGATTCTGGGGCAAACACGTCAAGAGCCACGGAGAGGTCTCCCTGAGGCTGGGATGAGATTTCACCTCCCTCACCACAGCAGCAGCTGACAAATCCCACCCTATTTCAACTAAAAATAAAAGACAAGAGATTCAACCTGCTTCTCACCTCTATCACTGTCATTTCGGGATGTTTCTCCCCCACAGGCGGGCGCTCTGGGAGGGCTCCAGCGACCCCCGTGCCTCCTCACTGGGCACAGCCCTCTCCCGGGCCCTGGTTTGCGAGGCTGAGGCTCAGGGCTCCGTGCTCCGCCCCCCACACCGCCTGGCTCTCCCAGCTGAGCAGAGGGCGACATGGCGACATGACCCCCTGGCACCTGACGCTGGCTTTCTGTTCTCAGGGATTTCGAAGGCTGTTTTCCGACGGCTGTCGTCTCCCAGCCACGGAAGCTACGGTTTGCTGAGTTTTGTCTTTGTTTCTTGTTTTGTTTTCTGGAGGATATGCTGGGGGCATCAGATTTGCCTCATTTTTTTTAATCGTTTACGTCATTTCCTCCAGAAAGACTAGTACCCAAGAGGTTAAGGGGAGGGTTTAGGTTAAAGACACAATCAGGGCGTCCATCAGGGTGCGCTGGCTTTGCAGCTCCCACCCATCAAAGGAAGTCCTCGGGGATCCCCAGAGGAGACGTGAGAACTGCAGCGACACCCGCTCCCAGAGCAAGGCCAGGCCTTCGAGGTCCTGGGCCCACGGGGCGGTGTGTGAAGAGGCGGGGGACGGGCATGCGGGGAAAGGCCGCACCTCACCCGGGGATGCAGGAAGGACGCAACATACCCGTGTCACACACTAAACACTGTAAACGGTGAGAGTAACATATGTGTGTCACATGCTATAAACATTGTAAACGGTGAGAGTAACATGTGTGTGTCACGTGCTGTACACACTGCAAATGGTGAGAGTAACATACATGTGTCACGTACTGTAAACACTGCAAATGGTGAGAGTAACATATGCATGCCACGTGCTGTAAACACCATAAACGGTGAGAGTAACATACGCGTGTCACACGCTGTAAACACCATAAACGGTGAGAGTAACATACATGTGTCACGTACTGTAAACACTGTAAATGGTGAGAGTAACATATGCGTGTCACATGCTGTAAACACCATAAACGGTGAGAGTAACACACGCGTGTCACACGCTGTAAACACCGTAAACGGCAAGAGCAGAAGCGGGGAGTGAGGCGGTGACCTCACCTGTCGTTGTGCTCCAGGGCCGCGTTGGTGGCCGCCACGAGTGCCCTCAGCTCCTCCCGGGCCTGGGTGACATCTGCCGTCTTCACCGAGCTCCTCGCCAGCCCTTTGGCCTCCTCCAGCAGAGTCTGTGTGGACACACAGGAGGGGGGTCCCTTGTCTGGCTAGTCCAGTGCAACCAGGCTGTCCTGAGCCCAGACATCAATTCACGTGGAAATCGGCCCGGCCGGCGGGGCTCAGTGGGTGAGCGTCGACCTAGGAACCAGGAGGTCACTGGTTGGATTCCCGGTCAGGGCACAGGCCGGGGTTGCAGGGTCCATCCCCGATAGGGGGCGTGCAAGAGGCAGCCGATCCATGATTCTCTCTCATCATGGATGTTTCTATCTCTCTCCTCTCCCTTCCTCTCTGACATCCATTTTTAACAGATATTTAAATTCCAGTGACAATGGTACGTGGGGAGGACTGGGGTGTGGGGAAACACGAGAAGGGACAGCTCGTCCCGTGAAGATCCGGAAAACACACTTCTCGCTGTTTTCAGGTTTTCGTTTACAGGAAATGTTTTACGTGGCGGGTTTCCTGCTGGTGTGCGTGGGGAGGACGTGCGGGTCGATGCTTCAGGCAGGCCCCGCCCCCGTCCCAGCAGCATCGGGGCCTCCCTCACACCCTGCAGTGACATGCTTGCTGGTCGTCACCGACAGCTCTCGTGACGGCCACGGCCTCTCCCAGGAGGGGAGCCGTCAGAATTTCCCTCCCAAGCCCAGGCCCATGTGGCAGAGGCTCCGCTTCAGGCCCGGGCAGCAGAGGTACCGGGGCCCTCACTGCCACCCTCTTCATGGGGCAGAGGCTTGGTCAGAAGCAGGGCAGACGCAGCGGCAGGACCCCACCCCTCCCTCCCAGCCCGTGCCCGTCTGGTGAATCAGGTTGTCCCAGAAGCACGGCCGCTGCCGTGGACCAGCTCGAGAGCAGACATTGTGCCCAGGGAGAGGGGAGGGCTGTGCGCCCCACCCCACCCCTGCCCCTCACCATGAGCAGAAGGTGAAAAGTGAATTCTTTACCCATAATGCCCTTCAGCTAGTCCAAGGTGTCGCTATTCTAAATTATGTAGGCACAGCCCTAGCTGGTTGTCTCAGTGGATAGACCATCGGCCTGAGGACTGAAGGATCCTGGGTTGGATTCCGGGCACATGCCTGGGATGCGGGCTTGATCTCCAGTAGGGGGCATGCAGGAGCTAATCCATGATTCTCTCTCATCATTGATGTTTCTCTCTCTCCCTCTCCCTTGCTCTCTGAAATCAATAATATATATATACATATATTTTAATGGTTTAGATGATGTAGGCACGAATGGGTCTTCTTGGGTTCCAGATGTTTCTGCTGCTGGTGAATGAGGAAGTACAGGCCCTGCGAGGCCCCTGCGTGAGGAGGTACCTGGTACTGGTCCGTGGGCTGCGCGCTCAGCAGGATGGCCATGTAGAGCTCGTATTCATCCTGCACGGGGAGAGAGGGGGGCTGCGGAGATTGCTCTGAGCCAGCAGCACGATGGGGGGTTTGCAGGTATAAGTAACGTGGAGGTTAAGGATGTCAGTTTCAATCGCCGTAAAAAATACAAAATATTTCAGCGTTCTACTAAACAAGACACACGTTAAAGGCATTCGACCTTAGCTTCTTGGCAGCCTATCTGAGTGTGAGCCATCGGTCCCCTCGGGATAGTGCCGTAAACTGCCGGACAGGAGTCCACACGGCACCTCCGGCCACACGGACGCCCCTGGGTGGGTCCGGGGATGTGCCCTGCGGGGTGGCCACAGATGGCCGCGTGTAGATATTCAGTGCCACTCAGAACCGGAGACCGCGGCTGTGGGCACCACCCAACCTCAGCTCGGCTTCACCCCCGAGGGCACACTCACCCCGAGGGCACACTCACCCCGAGGGCACACTTACCCCCGAGGGCACACTCACCTTCGAGGGCACTATTTCATTTTTTGTAAAGACAGACCCCGCGTTGCTTAAAACAAAAG